GTAGCCCACGGTTCCGCCGCAAAAGAGGGCTCCTATCAGGCGTGCGGTGCCGCCCACAGAGCATCCTCCATTACTTTTAATCTCCTTGGCTGCAGCACAGTGGGAAAGTCCTCTCGGCAGATCAGATAAAGAGTTACATTTTTTTAAGCAACCATTTTAATTGTTTTCTTTGTGTTCTGTTATTTTGGAGGCTGACTTTTTTTCACAGATGTCTCTTACTCATGGAATTTACCATGTTTGCATCTGAACGGGGTCCACTTTTTTTTCGTCCTTCCAGAAACAAAAGTTCATCACTCACTGTAGTGATTTAAGTTAAAGAGGAATAATTGCCTGTTATTAAAATTGATGATGAATCTGGAATGCGCCTATTTTCATCGACATCCATACTTTTTGACAGTTCAGTACCGGCTCCCCCATCATTATCAACTCCATCCGTTAAAAAGTGCAAGTATTTAATTATTTTATTTTTTATTTTTTTAAAGTGTTTTACGGTGCTCACAACTTCATAAGGTCATATGAGAGCGCTATGGACACATTAACTCATTCAGTGCTGAGCTCTCTAGCAGTGAACTCCCCTCATATACTGAGCAGTTTTGTTATGGCAACTTGAAATTAGGTCTATCCACGAAAATTAATCAAAACTTGTGTGAGTTCAATGGCTGTTTGAGCAGAAAAAATGTCTCTTTGACCTTTCCCATAATGCATCACGATTAGTAAAATAACTTGGTACGGATTAAATAGAGTAATTCTTTACATAAAGACAGCGAGGCAGAATGTGAGAATACTCGTCGCTAGTATGTGGGCGAGGCCCAGGTTTCTCGAGTGTTCTCGTTCATAGCACTGGATGAGTTAAAAGTTTTCAGTAGGTTGGAAATTTTGAACTTTGCTTGGGTGGCAACCGAACCCCTATCTTATAGATTTTGGACCACCAAGGGATGTCTAGCATGCGCAACTTGCACATGGGACCTCAAAAATTTTTTGTCGTTATCCGAGAAGGCTAGGTGTTGGATCTTATTTACCATAAGATCAGGGGTGTGGCTGAAAGACAGCAGTAAGAAGGAGCCGAGTAGTAGCAGTAGAAGGGCTGCAGAGAGAGTCAGGAGCCCAGAGGAGGGGGCAAAAGAGGTGAGGGGATGGGGGCAGAAAGTGGAGACGAAAGCAGACGACAGAACATTGTTAGAGAACAGGAAAGGATGTGAAAGGAGAAAATTTTAGGAAGAAAATTTTCCGTCGCTATCCAGATCCGAACCCGGACTTATTTAAAGAGACAGAATACCTTAACCTCTAGACCACGAGAGCCTCCAAAAAGTGCAATAACGTAGAGCTATCGATATTCCGTGGCGAAGGATCAGTACTCGCTTTCGTATTGTCTTAAGTTCCTAATATTTACAGTAATTCTCTCAGCAATAAGTGAATGTTATAAGTTGTAGAAACCTGCCAGATTGGGCATTTTCTGCAATCGGCCATTATCCTACTAGGCCTATAATATGCATTCATTGCAGGTTGGTCAGCAATGCTTTTTTACTTGAAGTTTGGTAGAAATCTGGCTAGCCATGATCCTGAACTTCTTCTGTCTATTTCCTCCTTTCTTTCATTCACTCATTCTTTCTGTCTATCTTTGGATTGTTGCCACTGCTGGAAAATCTGCATGTTGATCCAGTAAATCGACTTTTGATTTTTTTTTAAAATCACTATGAGAAGGAAACTTTTTTTCAAATTTGTTTAGTATCTAGAGAAATAGTCAGTGCAATGATTCTCTATGAGCATAAGCGTGATAAGGGCCGTGGTGAAAGAAATCCATGCTAAAACTACTCAAATTAAAATAACAAATAATTAGAAGTGGTTGTGACATTCGACATTCAAAAATGAAAATGAAGAAACATTAGGGTATGTGCAGGGTAACTGTATCAAAAGTCTGTCGTCTTTATCTCTCTTTCTACTTTTCTTTATGTACTCTCCAGAAACATCTCTAATCTTCCGCACTTTTTATGACCTATTTGGTGTTACAAGTGCCATACCTAGTTCTAAGGGAGTTTATAAACTTCGCTGTCAGTTTTCGAACCTGGAACCTATAGAATGAGAGGTGAACACTGTGCTGTGCCTCTAGACCATGAGATCCCCCTCACCCCTTCTCAATACTCCCCTAGTCATAATAGCTCATTTAATCAAATAATGTGTATAGTTTGCATTTTACTCACGGTTATTCGAATGACAGGAAGGACAAGTTCCGTAATGAGCGACCGCCCCAACAAACACAATATAAAGAAGAGACCTACCCCTAACCCTACCCCTAATCCTAATAATTCTACCCCTACCCCTACCCCTACTCCTAGCCTTCTATTCTACTCTAACTCATTGTGGTCGCTCGTTACGGAAGTCCTCTCCCAAAAAAGGTGCTAAGCTGTCCTAGCTGCTGCTATCAACATCGAGATTTACACCCAAACCAAAAACCAGAGCATCCTCATCCGATTCATTAGCAATGACCACGAAAAACCTTATTTGTTGTATCTTCACAGAGCATGGAACTTTTTGAATTTTTGAAATCCATCAATAAACAAAAAAGTTACGAATTTTTTAATCAATTAATTTTTGGTACACTTTTATAATGAAAAAAACCCAAAATATGGGACGTTCTTTGGTGAGTTTTGAAACAATATTCATCATAACTCGCTCATTTCTCGGGAGTATTTAAATGAAACTTGGCAACCCAGTACATTTTCCAGAGAAGAATCTAGTCCTGCTTTCAGATTTTTCATAGCTATCCTACTTTTTGAGTTATGAAGTCGTTTATAGGTAAAAATGTGGCGGTTTTCGGTGCGTTTTGATACAATATTTGTGACATTTTGTCATTGCTCGCCTATTTCTTGGAGTATGTAAATGAAACATGGCAGTCTAGTACAGTTTTTAACGCAGAATCTAGTCATGCTGTCAGATTTTTTATATCTATCATACTTTTTAAGTTGTAAAGACATTAACAGGTAAAAAAGTGGCGTTCTTTACAGATACAAAGATTATCAGTCATATCTTCTCCCAAAGTCCTGATATTTGAATGAAACTTGGCAACATAAAAAGTTCCTCCTTGCCAAGCAATGATCTGGATCAATTTGTCACAAAAATGTAAGTAGAGAGCTGGATTTATTAGTCTAATAAATCCAGTTCTCTACTAGTAAAAGCATGCCCACTTTGTAATAGAAAATAAGATCATCTCTGTGTATATCCATTGTTGGACAATGTCCTATTGTGTGGTAGATTAAGATGCGTTTAGATAATATAGTTTACAAGTCATGGGAATATTTCCCATGTGTAGGCTACAACTCATACTATAAATGTAACATATTTAACAGATAGAAGAACTCTCTCTCTCTCTCTCTCTCTCTCTCTCTCTCTCTCTCTCTCTCTCTCTCTTTCCCTCTCTCACGCACACACACACACACACACACATGATGCACGCGCACACAGGACGAGTCCAAGTGTTTGCTTTCCCAAGAGGGGGGAATAGGTTTTCATAACGCAAACACGATGCCATACCACTTCTCAAGATGTTTGCTTTTCTGTTTCTATTCTTGTCATGCAATCAAACAAATAAAAATGACTACATCTATTGTATTTGTGACTAAAATGCAACAAAAATGCAAGTTATCAAGGCCCACGTTTAGTTTTCAAGTATCCTTCCCCCCCTTTCCGGTTCACATAAGCAGGGCCTCATTTATATAGCGCCCGAGGCGACTGATGGCTGATGATGTCACTCAGTGGAAATTTCTCAGCCGCCGGTCGTTCACCCAGAACGCGCAAATGGCAATGCCGTTTTTTCCCCTAGTTACTCCCACATTTTTAAAGATTACGCAAAAACCGCTAAACACAGAAGCATGAAATTTTAAGGGAATAAAGAAAAATGGTGTACAACGTATCAGTCAGTTTGACAAATCACAACTCCGAAAAATCTTCAAAGCGCACCACATCAACCACTTTCGCAAACGTTTTGGACTGCTTCTAGGATGGGTACAATTTGTCAAACTGCATACTACGAGATTGACCTCTTTTCTGATTGGCTGCCAAGTTTCATTCATCCATTCACGAGAAGCAGCGTGAGAGCGAGTTGAAGACAACAACCTTTGCGTTAGTGCGTCCCACGAAACACCCCCGAGGCGGGGGCCGAAAATCGGCAGAACAAAACGCCCTCGGTGGGCATTGCTAGATTCATCCATAGACAAAACTACGGAAACTGAACCGGATGCTTGAGATTCAGATTCCGACGACACAACAGGGAAGGGAGAGGCAGTAGTTGATGCCAGCAAGTCCACACTCTCACTACTCTCAGTCTCAGCAGCCTCTATCTCAGCCTGCATTAGGGAGCAAAAGTAGTTCCGACCCAATCCGTAAATAATTTTTGCAATCCTTAACGAACATTTCAAGTTCTCATTTTAATTTCCTGAACAGCTAAAGTTTAACTTTAGCACTTTGTGAGGTTGCTCAATTCAAGCATAGAAACTCCAAAACGCCCCTTTTTGTATTTTTTGCCCAATGCATTCTCTAGATCTACAGGAGGGGATCCTTTCCATAATTTATAGCCAGGCCATAGCGCCAAAAGTAAAAGAGAGAGAGAGAGAGAGAGAGAGAGAGAGAACAGGATGCCATTTTCATGTTAAACCCTGGAAGTGCGCAGGCCCATGAAGGGCTTGAGCCGGGCTACCCGGGAAGCGCGCACACCCTATATATATAGGGCTGACCTACTTCGACCGGGAAGCGCGCAGGCCCTATATAAAGAGCATAGACGCTGACCTTTTTCAGTATTCCTTATGTGGAAAATGACGTTGTCAATTGAGCTTTTGCCAAAAGGTGGGTGTTTGCTTAGGACTTTTTAAATCAACCACAACTCATGGTAAAATATGTTTTCTTCTGAAAACTTTATGCATATGGCAAGGAAATAAGTTGGTCAAGCTGCATGAGCAAGTAGATTGATGTGTGCATCTTATATCTCTTCATAGAAAGATAATAGTACTAAAAATAGGGCATTTTTTACTCATCCTGAGTGCACACGTAATTGTATGTTAAATACAGAATATTGTTAATCTTAAACTATCAAACAGAAGTGCATTCAAACATTGAAAATAGTTTGTATACACCATCATAACAGCATGTGTCCATTAAAAGGGTTTTATTTTTTTATATTAATGATGTTATTGCTGAGTAAAATTTATAAGTTCGTTCATAACTCGTGTCATAATTACATCATCAGACTTTCCAAGGTCTAGAAAACCCAAATCGTTAAACATATCAACCCGGGGAATGACCGGTATTAAACATTGGTTTGACATTGATCCATCAGAAGGGTAATTTTCCGCTTTTCCGCTCCATTGCATGGTTTTGCTTAAATATGACTTTGATTGAGATAATCCAGGTTTGTCATAATGATGTTATGAACAAACACTTTATGATATTTCTGCAAAATATCATGTGAGGGACTTCCAACTGTTTCACAACATCCTTTTACATGGTGGAATGAACATGGAAGAGTATCGTGCTGATGACTCAAAAGAGAAGCGAAGAAGAGGCAAAAATATGCTTGTCATAATGGATTGTCATCATGTTATGAACGTGACAGTGTGTCATAATGGTTATGAACGAAACCTTATTCCATGTAATTTACAGTTGTTTTGGGATGTATTTTTAATTTTAACCCAACTTGAGGATGTATTTGACCTTAGCTTACATTCTGATATTTTGATTTTTATCATATAAGTGTATGGGTCTGGATTTTAACTAGTATTTTACTTTTGTAGTAATGGTTATGAACGAACTACATATTGTACTCTGAGGGCTTTCCAGGGTTTATAAACATTAAAAACATGAACACAGATACATATTATGAGGAAACTTTCATTTAATATGAAATTTTAAAGTAAATGACAGGTCAAAATATTAATTTTTAGGTCAAAACTGAAGTTTGTCATAATAGTTATGAACGAACAATAAAGGTATTCTAAGGGTTTTTCAGTGATTAAACTTTGAATTCTTCCAACATATAAGCTTATTTTGAGGAGAGTCTCATAAATTAAAACAATTTTATGTGAATGACAGAATAATAAGTTAATTTTTTGGGCCCAAAGTAAAATTTGTCATAATAGTTATGAACGAAACAGTGTGTCATAACGGTTATGAACGAAACCTTATTCCATGTAATTTACAGTTGTTTTGGGATGTATTTTTAATTTTAACCCAACCAAAGGACAGAATAGACCTTGCATACATTCTGATATTTTGATTTTTATCATAAGTGTATGGGTGTGGATTTTAATTAGTATTATACTTTAGTAGTAATGGTTATGAACGAACTATTTATAGTCCATTCTATATATTTTGAGGGGTTTTCAGTGTTAACAAACTTTAAAAACATATACAGAGATACATATTATGAGGAGAGTTTCATTTAATAAAAGTTTTTAAAAATGAATGACAGATCAAAATGAGTAAATTTTTAGGTTAAAATTGAAGTTTGTCATAATTGTTATGAACGAACCATTTTAAAGGTATTCTAAGGGTTTTTCAGGAAATAAACTTTGAATTCTTCCTACATAGAGGAATCTACCATATTTTAAGGAAAGTCTCATAAATGAAAACCATTTTATGTGAAAGACAGAACAATATATAAGTGAATTTTAGGGGCCCAAAGAGAAATTTGTCATAATAGTTATGAACGAAACAGTGTGTCATAATGGTTATGAACGAACTTTAAATGTATGCATAATATGCCCTATGACCAGTTTGCGTTTAAAAATAGCTGTTCAATGGTCTTTCATTTATCACTTGACTATAATTTAGACCGGAGTGTTATTTTAGACAATTCAAGTCGATGAAACTTGATATAATTGATAGTATTTTGGTCACTTATTGTTCGTTCATAACTATTATGACACAAAAAAGTAATTTTATCAAAAATTAATAAAGATTTTTATAAACTGTCAATTCTATGTAATTTTGGAAGTTATTTGCTATGTCTCAAAATATACATCAGCCTAGCTGAAGAAAGGAACTTTGAGTATTCATAAATTTGTGTCATCATTGTTATGAACGAACTTTTGCTATTTCCGTCATTAAAGTCAAAATTACACCAAGACCATTGCATATACAGCTTTGGCAATTACTGAGCCTGAAAGAGCAATCATTAGGCTATATAATATGGGTGATTAATGAATTATTACATAAAGTTAATATGGACCTCATTTGTCACACCCAGGTATCCCACCTTTCGGCAAATGCTCAATTACAGCTCTCTCTAAGTTATAAATAGTGACCAATGACTTTGCAAGTTATCTTGCTCATAGAGCGTCTCTTGGCCGAGATAGCGATCGATAAAGTGACGAGATCCCGCTGAGCAACTACATGCTATGTGTTATCACTTGTTTCGCCGTGCTGAGGTACTAATTGTTAAGTCTATCGCGTTCTCGGCTTTGTTTGTATTTATTTGATCGCTGATCATTTTTGAATGGCTCATTCTATCAGCTTAAAGAAAATATATGCTTTTATATCTTTTTATCATCTGTTGAGCCGTAAATGGTCATTCAGTAGCAGGTATACATTTCGGGTATCTCAGCAGATTCCCCCCGCCAAACCCCCATGTTTACAACTGATCGGCCGTGGCGGCGGGGCATTTTTGGCGGGTTACTTCCGGTGAAATGCTGCTGAGAGCGCTTAGTTCTTCTAGGGTTAAACCATCAATGGACTTTCATTTATTACCTTTGTCGTTAGATGCAGTGGGTCCACATCATCACTACCGGTACTTCTTTTCTTTCTAGCTAGACCTGGTAGATCAGCATAGAAAATCTTCTCGATTTTCGATCCCGACAGTTGAAATTCTTGAGAGACAGACACGGTCAGGAAGTTGGAGTTGCGTTCGTTCTCAGCTGGTGGGAAATGCAGTGTTTTATGCCTGAATGTACTGAAACCATGCTCATTAATCTTTGTAGCCTCTACAGCTGTTTGAACTGAAGGAAAAAGTACAAGACAAAAAACACAGTGAAGGAATAATATCCTGTGCCCACTGTCCCTGAGCACGGGCTGCGCCATTGCGGATCTTGCTGTTGTGAAATAATGGATGATGATAACCTTCCGTGTTTATCAAAACACTTGTATTCGCACGATGTACCTAGTGATAAAGCGTTAGCTATTCTCACGTCAGATTCTCGTTAGTGACGTGCGAATATACAGTTGAACCCGGGGTTTTCTATCTCTCTTGGTAACAAAAAATATCAATTCTCCTAGGCTATTATTGCTTTATTAGTGTGCGCGTGAGTTTGTTTGTGTGTGTATGGGTGTGTGTGTGTGTGTGTGTGTGTGTGTGTGTGTGTGTGTGTGTGTGTGTGTGTGTGTGTGTGTGTGTGTGAGCGTGCATGTGGGTGTGAGCGTATATTAAACTGTATGGGTTTTTTTTCTCTGTT